GCCAAAACAGCCCACTGCAGCAGTCAGCAGTGGGCTGGAGGAGAGCCCGAGTGTCAGAAGCGAAAATAACGCGAGGTTACTACAGTAATAACGCGGAGTTACTGCAGCAGTTACCTCGGGGTGCGGTAGATAATGGGCCAACGGGTTTTATGACTATCCGCTCGTGATCGACTTCAATATGAAGTAAATGTAGACATTTAAAGACTTGCGGCATTTCCGGCATCATCATTTGCCTTGTTTAGTATCGTGGTCGTAAAAGCGGACGGCATGGGTCTGAGGATACGCATGTTACAGTATGTTGACAATGTATATGCTCTCATTTATCATAAACACGTAGCCAAAAGCAGTGGTAATGTGCATGCGAAGAATAATACCATACATTTCAAACGAAAATAATACTTATAAAAGGAAAAAGATCCAGTACCATTGGTTCAAATCTGACCCTTGCACAGCGCACATGTTAACACTGTTTATCAATATTCGAACAAAACAAATCACCCTTTTAGCCTACTTTGATCATGAAATAACTCGCTGATCTCATCAGCGCTGCGCAATGGTTCCAAGGTGGCGAATCATACACGTCAGGGATAGTTGAGGACTCTAGCTTAAATTCAGCGCACCAGGGCATTAGCGTTGCGTCTGCGCAACTGCTTCCCCTGTCCATGTTCCATAGCGCACTGAGGTACCCAATGTTCTTGGATAGTCCTTTCATTAGCGCGGCCACGGGTGAGAGAGAAGGAGACAGACGGAGACGGTTGATTAAGAAAAGCAAAGCTTCGAGAATCAATTCATATAGCACGCGTACACAATATCTTCCGACAAAAATTCATCGTGAGTATGTACCGATCGACGCAATGGATATTCTTGTGCCTGCAAGCTCCTCCGGAGGAGGATGCTACCTAGTTGATATAATGTATGTGTTAATGAGGTTAGTTGTGCGACATCCCTGATTTACGTAGTCGCGTACCACAGCAAAACGTCTTGAGTGTACGTGCACTCCGGGTATTTTTGCCAGAGAGCGTTGCTCGCTGCTTTCTCTGTGCATGAGAGACTTTTGCATTTGTTTTCCTAGCCTTGGGCATAGTTTCCCTTCTGTCAGCCAGAGGTTCCATATCCAAGCGTTGCATGATGTGTGAGAAATTTTCCGTACAGCTGAAGCTAATTTTCAAGGCTCCCTCCTACACTTTCTCAATATGTTGCGCCTGCTTGTCGGTGAGTCCCGTATGAAAAACCACTGCACAATATTCTAGCAATGGTCGAATGTAATTAACTTTAACTCGGACATGATGCCCTTGTGGCGGATGGAGCGTCTTCGTAATGAAGAGCGTGCATAGAGTTTTCGATCCTTTGGTTCAAATCTCATCCGCATATTCTTGCCATGGCATGCCATTTGATATTTCTTCACCAAATACCTTAGTTTTTGTGGCAGTTGGTTTTGTGGCAGTTGGCTATTTCTTTTGAATTATGATGTCCCGTAGCGTACAGTTTCTTGACTGCGAAAAACTGCGTGACTTGAAACTTATCGGTGCCTCATGCCATCTTGTTTGCTTTGCCCATTCACATGTATTGTCAATATGCTCTTGCGCCTGGCAGGGCTGATTTACTCGGTCAGTTGGACACGCCTGGTATATGGCAAATTAATCTGCATACTTCAGTCGGTTCTCAATGTCAGCAGCGACACCATTAACCATAGCCAGGAAAGCACCCGGGCCAGCTAGGGTGTCATTTGGAGTGCCACTCGTTGTTGTTCTCTGCTGACTCATAACTTTATCTGGCACCTTGACCCACTGATGTCGGTCATGCAAGAACGACTACAGCCACTTTACCTACCCGGAGTGAATTCCCATTGCAAGAAAGTTTTGGATAACCGTTGTGCGACTAATGGGGTCGAATCCCTTCTCAAAACTGTACATAACGACAGAGAATAACTTTTCTGGTACATTTGACTCTATCAGCAAATTATTCGACAATTTAAATAAGTAGTGTGAGGCTCAGGCAGCTTTCATATCTCCATATTGGGGCTTGTCTATGCCAGGTTTTATGTCCGCCAGAATTAACGAAACAATAGTTTTCTCCAAAACCTTGCTAGAAGTTATTGCGAGGCTTAGGGACCGCAGGTTTCCCGGCGCCTTCGGCGATGTTTTCTTCGGCATAGGAGTGACAGTAGCTCTCCTCTACACCGATAGCACGCACCCTTCATGCAATGATCGACTAAAACTATGACTGAGAGAAAACAAATTTGGTGGCCGCTTTGGAAGTTGGCCGCCGGGCAGGGCCATATTTTTTTCAGATACGATAAGTGATTTTAAGCGTGCCACGGCTGTATCTCAAGCAGAATATCGTTAACAGGTATATAAATGGGACGCCCTTCTGTGCGCAACAGCCCATACATTATGCAAATTTCTACAAAACGGCTAGTTCACTAGTTCCGTTTTTGATTTGCCGGCGTTAGCTTCCGCAAGGTCAGGGCTCCATGCATGCAAGGGTGACGATTTGTATTCTTTTGTGTGGGCCCTGCCCCCCCCCCCCCCAATGTTGAGTTTGACCCTCAATGTTTTTGGCTGGGATACTACAAAAACACGTGGGTAGAGTATTATAATAATACAAAGACTTTCTTCTTTGATCTTTCTGCACAGTGGCGTCTCGTACCACTCTCATAACAAAAGTCACGATGCTCTCACCACAAGATACAAATCGTACCAGCTGAGCGAATAAACGATGCAATAAACTTCACATGCCTAGCGCCATAGACACGCAATGGGTTTGTGAGGTTAAGTGAAAGATCTGGGACATGGGGGATGACCTAAGTACTTCATGGCTAATCCCGTTCCCGTCCCTACAACCAAAATGCGTGCCGCCTCCCATGACTGCCATAGAAGAGCGCCATCGGGGCCCTAAGGTGGCTTCTAAAGGGCCGCTTCACGTGCCGAACAGTAGGAGTGCGTGCGTCCTGTGCCTGTTCCCTGGATTCGACCCTACATACTTCTATACTGCTTAATTCGAAGACTGTAGCAATGATATAGAGCTTAAAAAAACATATATTCCGTTAATGAAAATAAAGTGGTGCCAAATCCAGGTAACAAATAAATGAGGGGGGAAAGGGAGTCGCTTACCAGGCCTTGGGTTCGACCCCTCTCAATGATTTTACAAAAATTGACACCCCTGGCTGCTTGGTTTTGGTTTTTGGCAGGTCAAGCTGGCTCCTTGGCTGTACCAACACCCTTATTGGTCAGAAGCAATTCTGTGCATTCGTCTCCTGCACCATGCCATCACATTACCAAACATCATCCAACCAGTAACACCCGCTTGTTGCCAGGCGGGCGCATTGTGGCTTCTTGCTCCACTGCCTCCCTGAACAAGTAGGTTCTTAACAAGCTGATAGGGCTTCGTAAGAGCTACACCCAGTACGGGCCCATTATTTGCTGAAATCAGATATCTGAAACCAAACAGGTGTTTTGAGCGCAGGGAGTAACGAATAATCCGCCACGTCGGGTCGTAGAAAGCGCAAATGTAATGGGGAGCACGGCAGACGAGCGCATGGGGGGCGCTCCGATTTTCGTCAATTCTTTCCACGCGTCGAGACGGAGTGAATGCTCGACGTTGTTTTTTGCTACGGGTTAATGTTATCATGTTGCATAAGTTGTGTAAGGCATGGGAGAAACGACGCTTTAGATGCTAACGCGGTCTAGGTAAGGTGTTGGTGCCGTTGTGTTTGACCCCTCAAAAATGTAATCCACCAGCCAAAAGACAGCTTACAAGCATGCCACTGCTTCGACGACGGGGCGGGATAAGGTAGGATCAGTTCTTTTGCCTCCTCCCTCATCCCCATCGCTTTTAAGAGTTTCAACTCGTCGGACATTGGCATTCACGCGACTGATAGGCATGGTACGTTTCGCACCTGCGTGATGTGCTCTCGGCCGAACGCCTCCTGTTTATAGATTGCTCCTTTTTACTTTTCACTATTCAGCTATGTTGCCCACCGCCTATCAAAAAAGTGTTGTCTGTTACTGGGGCAAGACGTGAACACGATCCTTCCTTAGGTCATTCAGTGAGTTTTCAGGGGGGCTGGGCTTCGTCGAGGAGGAGGAGCAGCTGATTTATTGCACGATTGCTCCGCCCCACGGCAATAATGGGAGTTGCTTAAAACGTCCAGCAGGTGCCGTATCCACTGAAGTTAAAATAAACACATAATTTGTGATGATTTTACTATGTTTTTTTATTTTAAAAACACTTTTAATATTTTTCAAAGAACAATCTTGTCTTTAAGTGCTATATAAATATTTATTCTTAATCAATTTTGCACTTTTCTTTATATACGTCTTCCAGCAACGGGAGGGGGGAATAAAAGTTAGTGGCCTTCAAGTTAATTCGAGTACGGGCGTTTAACTACAGTAACCGGCAAAAAAAAAAATGCTGGTGAGTGTAAATATTTAGAGCAGAAAAAACCTAGAAATTTTTACGTATAGCAAACATAAGGACGTTCTTATCTCCAACTCCTTGCAATAGTGCTGTATTTGCTGATTTCTCCCAGCACTAACCAGATGTAGTCCTCATTGAACCTCCACATTTGTGGCTATATTTACAGATTACCCAATAATTTTTATCAAATTTATTTCTTTATGTTCAATCCTTTGCTTTTCTCCAATTTCTATCTCCATTAAATAACTTGGCACCGTCGGCTCGGTAGCCCGCCCGCCCTCCAGGTGGCGCGCGCATCGCCAACCAGCGAGGCCCTCCTCAGGGCCGTTGGCCGAGAATGACGACTAAACAAAGAAGGCCATTGGTCGGCGGACCCGGTGAGACGGCCGTAAACGAGTGCTGGACGCAGGATTTTATGGTCGTCATACCATTGACGTCTTGTGGCGGAATGAGTTATTATTTTCATCTGTGACTTACGTTTCGCCATAAAACAAAGTCGTGCGTGTTGGTGTTGCTGTGATCGCGATTGTGCCGTGGGATCTAGTGTGTGTGCTCAGATATGGAGGGGCAACAGTACGGCATGGGCTACGGTATGCAGCCCCAGATGGACCCCAACGGGCAGGCCAACACCGAGGGTGAGCCGAGGAAGCAAGACATTGGGGAGATTCTGCAACAGATCATGACTATCACCGAACAGAGCTTAGACGAGGCTCAAGCCAGGTCAGTACATTGCAGGAATGTCCTACTATTGTTTGTAACTCCGTCGAGTCCAGCAACCGACCCCCCCTTCCCCCCACCGGCGGACGCACAAAATAATCATTGTACGTCGTCTGTTGTTGCGACACGAAATCACCTGTGCCTCCACGAATCGGGTCTTGGACATTTTTTTTCCGTCAAATTTTGAATCCATCTGGATACATTGTGAAAACTTGAAGGAGTTCTACAGCTTCCCTATCCACAGGTCATTTATACCATATTTACTATCGTGTTTAAACAATTGGTATCCCACAAACCAATTTTCATAAACACCTCCAGTCAACGATTCCAAGGCAGCGCCCCAATCCTGTAGGGAAGCGAAGTGCGGTACCCGGTAACCGGCTTAGGCCAGAGGTCCCATCACGCGGCACCACGTGCCATCCGGTGCGCCGCCAGTTAGGTGCAATTATGCCCTTCTCGGGACATTACCCATGTGTCGCCAAATCGGCGTGACTTGCGGCGTAAGCGGGGGCCGGCCGGCGGGCGCCGGGCGGCTGGTGGCGGCCCGCCGGCCGCCGGACGGGTCGGCCGAGCAGGGCCGGGAATGCCGACGGCCCGCCGGCCCGACCCGGCCCTGCTCAGGGGCGCCGGCTGGTGTCGCTCAGGCCAGCCGGGACGCGGGACGCCATGTTGCTACCTGAGTCTGTAGTGGCCCGTATGCTGGAAAAATACTGGCCATCTTAGTAATGGCACTTGCCCAGCGGTGATCACCCGGGCACGGGTATTGGCCGCTACATCGTGTCGCTGGTGGCGCCAATCTCGCGAGCGACGCAAGGGTGTTACCATGGTTTGTTGTTTTTTGGGGAGAGGCTGTCCATCCCTGCAATCCAGCACACCTTGTTTTTTCCAACATGTTAACGGTATAACTATGGCTCTCAGCACGGGATGTGTTTGCGCGTGGCATGCATTTATCTACATTGATTGTCGGGCAAGTGACCACTACTACATCCAAACACTGAAGGCGAAGTCGTGAAATGTATCGAAAAACATCTGCTGCCTCTTCTGTTTCTTTTCCTAGTTGTTGTGACCGAAATTCGTTGCATTATTGCTATCATTGGGCCCTTTTGTTCGTTTATTATTTGTGATAAATGGGCAAGACCATGCGGTGGTTCCGAACTTTTCAAAATCATTGCCGTCTGTGACAAGTATGCGTCGAGGACACCAAAGTAAGGGCGATGCACGCATTATCTCGCGCGCACTGTCGAATATAACGCATAGTTTCATCTTCTGTGTGGTAGCATGGGCGTGTGCAGGATTTCGCAACGAGGGCACATAACACATTGCCGCAGGAAGACAAGTGCCGCATGCAAGCGAAATTTCTTCGATGGCGTGAAGTTATTATTTGCCCCTGATCCATTTGTTTTGTGTATCCATCCCAAATTTTTCATTGTCAACGTTGAATCACTGATTTCTGACTACGCCATGACTTTGAGAAGGGGGTCACGTTTCCGTAAGTCACGATGTGAGAAATCCACTTTCTGGTAGTTTCACCCATATATTTCAAGCCAAATAATGTAGAAGTATGACACAGTTCGAGTTTTGCTTAGTGCGCACTCCTGAAGCCAACATTCTCGCCTAACTGAGATGAGATTTTTCCAGGCAGTTGGACTGAGTTGTTATTGAACTGAGCATACCACATTCTCTCATCTGCAAAGTTAACTGCATTGGAGCAGAATATGACTCGCACGTGCTACCGCTATCTGTTGAAATTACGGGGATTGGTATGCGCCGCGGTTCTCCGGCCTGTATACAATTGTGCTACCGCTGTGCTGTTTGTTAGCTATTAGTAGTTCTGTGACCATTAATGGGCTGTCAGTGTGTGATGCATTTTTGGACATCCCGAGAGATGGGTCGATTGGACCCAAAACATTGTACTAGCCCTCAATAATCAGTTTTCTTCTGCATTAATGTGACAACCTTTCGCTTTAATAACGACGTTTCTTTAATTTCAGTACCGAATTTTCCAGGAAGCATACGCTGAACTGTCATCGAATGAAAAACGCCCTCTTCTCCGTACTTATGGAAATTAAGGAAAAAACAGGTAAGTACGTCAAGGGCGTCTTTCTGCCGTGATGTTGAGCGCATATTAACCCATCGAGCCTTTTTCCTGCACGCGCAGACAGCACACGTCCTATGTGTGCGCATTTGTAAGCGGCCAAACGACGCGAAATTTTGACAAACCGAGTGCAAAACACGCGGTGTTTCTGCTAGGACAGGTGCAATATGATGTTATTATACCGATAACGACCCTGCATGTGCACACATGCGAAGCAACGAAGCGGGGGGGGGGGGGGGGGAGGAACACCCAGGTATGACAGAGAACATAACATCTGTATCATTGCTTGGTACAATATTGAGCGCAAAATTACCATGCTAGTGGGCGCCGTAAAACTCCAACCATCACCATCTGGATATATGACCATGGTGCCCTTGGTGCCAATATTTGCGATGCCTGTACTCTTAACACATTTTCCTTAGACAAGAACCCTGGCCCGTAATGGATTTGGTAATCTGGGCATGGTGTACATGATGCGGCAGTGGCGTTACACGCCGAGTCAATATGATTAGTTATTTGCGTGCTTTTGCATGAGATGTGGTTTCGGGATCTGAGTTTGCGGTCCACGTTTGCTGCCGACACGTTTTTTAGTCATTTAAAACTCACGGTGACAAAAGCATGCGGTGTTGTCCGTGCCCAATTGATGCATATCAACTCGTGGCCTGAGTTTCATACAAATTAACTCGTCCGTCGATTGCTTGCGTTCGTCACGCGAGGAAGTTCGAAGGCTGCTCTCAGCTACCCCGTATGAAAGGCAATAAATTTAATTTTGCGGCAATTTGGTGAGCACACACTCGAACCAGCCGGGCTGCGCTACTCCGATAAGGCGCGATTGTGGGCGTCCATTGCGTCAGTAGTAGATAGAGCACGCCGGAGACGCGGGGCGCCTCCCGCTCGGCTTCGATGACGGGATGCCTTACGGATGGGCCTGGTCGAGTGTAAAATGCCTGTCCGGGCGCTGCAAAGTCCGGCTCACTCAACCATCGGGCCTTTCTCCACTGGCGCATTTTTAATGTTCATTGATTAGGCTAGCGATGCTGCTCCATGAAGCGATCGAGCGCCAAGGATCGCGGTGGTGGTGGTGCTTAACGGCCTTGCCATCGCGAACAGCGCTGTTCCGCCCCCTGTCTTGTCTGATGACATGAGATGGCCCGACTGCCCCGACCATCCACAGTTTGCCGCCGTCATCAGGGCCCCAATCACTCTCCTTGGGTGACCGAAAACGGCGGCCTCCCGACTTTCCCGATGGCTGGCATCACTTCTCCGGCTACAGTATCCGCTTATGACGGGAGACGGCTCGGTGAGGCTTACTGTGGCCGCGATTGATGGCTTTATTCTGACCCTCCGCTCCGATGGCCCGTTTTATGTGCCTCTTTATCGTGTTTATTTTCCGCCTGGCACTGCGGCATTTTCAATGATCAAATGTTGAAATGTCGACGAGCAATGAAACGCTCCGAGCTTTTACGGCGTCGGGAAGTGCCTAGAAGGATTTTACGTTTCTCTTTATTCCGCCCGTCTTTCTGTCCGCCCCGAAGGTCGTAATCGGAATCGGAAGCGAACGACGGATTAAAAATCATTTTGCATGGTCCATAAAATTAGCGGGGAGCTGAGCGTGCCGGCACGGGCCATCGACGTCGGCCCTGGGAGAGCTGCCAGCGGGCGGGCGAGCGAGCGGAGCGGAGCGGCCGAGCCGGGCTGGCCGCTCGGCGCCGCCCTAGGTGGGGACCGATTGATCCGCGCGCGTGGAGGGCCGCCGACCCTCGCCGCCGCCGCCGCCGCCGCCGCCGCCGCCGCCGCCGCCGCCGCCCTCGCCGCCTCCAACACCACTGCCGCCGCCGGCGCCGGCCACTCGGCGAGGACTTTTCGTTTCCATCTGTATGTTAATCAGAAGATTGAAATTCTCCAAGTCGGCTGTACAGAAAAAAACAGACCGGTGGACCACACGGGCGCTGGCTGCTGAGGAGGCGGCCGTCGCGCCGGCCGCCTCCTCTCCCGGCCGGTGATCAATAGGCGCGCGGTGGCCGGCCAGGCCGAGCACAGGTCGGAGGTGTTGACCGACTGCGACGCCGGCGGCGGCGACGGGCAGGCCGCCGGCCGGGCCCCGATACGCCGGCCCCGACCTCGGCCGAGGTCACGCGGACCGTGCTCGGGCGGTACCGTGTTCTGAGCGGCGTTCTGCCGTTGTCTGGCTGTCGCGACGGACTGTTGGTCGCGCGCGCAGGCCGCTGCCGTGGCCTATGAGCAGCTGCGGAGTTGTGGGTCTCGTCACAGATCCGGGGTCGGGGGTCTCGCCACAGGTCCAGGGTCGTGGGTCTCAAGACAGTTCTGTTTTCGCGGGTCTCGCCACAGATCCTGGGTCGTGGGTCTCGCCACAGTTCGGGGGTGGAAGGTCTCTTCACAGATCCGGGGTCGTGGGTCTTGCCACAAATCCGGGGTCGTGGGCCTCGCCACAGGTCCGGAGTGGTGGGTCTCGCCACAGATCCGGGGTGGTGGGTCTCACGACGTATCCGGTGTGATGGGTTTCGCCACATGTTCGCCTTTCCTTGCTGATCAGGAGGCTGATGAATAAGGGATTGCAAGCCCGACTGCAGGCGCGATCCTTAGAATGCGCCTCGCGGATGCATGCCGTGACAGCTTGGCAGGACAAAAAAACTCTGGCAACTTGATGGGACTGAGCAAACGTATGAACAGATTCGGAGTGGGACAGAGTGAGAAACGAGTGGAGGCAGAGCCAGCACATGCTAAATTATCCTGTTACATGTTCCCTTCGCCGTTGCTAGGACGCATGGATATTCGTTCCTTTCAATGCAGTTGATGTCCCAGCCTGCCTGTTTGTGGAGCTAGTGAATTAATTTCAGGTCTGTCACCGTAATTGTAGGACCAAAAATGATCATAGCTTTAGTAGGTAGAACAAGAAAGTTTTTCCTATTCAGGATGCCCTTCAGGGCCGTTTGAAGAACACAGATTTAATGAATGTATTTATTACGCGTCTAAGCTTTCGTGCCTGGCGGTGGTCGTAAGCGCCCAGATCGGCTCCGGCTTTTCCGGCCCTCTCCTGGATCGTGGTCTTCAGATCTGGCCAGCACTGCGAGTTGTCGTCAATCACCGCCGCCGAGGCAAGAAACAAAGCGCAAAAATACCGCCGACCTGTCCATGAGATGCCCCAGAAGCTGGCCGCCGAACGGGCGAAGGTCGGCCGGCGGCGCCGATCCGCGGCCGGCGCACGGCGGACCCCGGACTGGACAGATTACCCGGCCGTCGCGCGGCGGTCCCAGCCCGGGCGTGGTCTGTCTCCGCGTAATGCGACGGCGAGCGTGACGAACAGTGGCGCAGCTGGCGCGGCGCGGCGGCACGGCGTCCAGGCCGGGCCACGCGGCACGAGGCGCCGATGGTGTTCGGGTCACGACCTGGCCTGGCTGGACACGAGACTACTGGTGCACGGCTGGCAGATCGGCATGGAGATCGGCTCACGAGACCGGACGGAGTTGACTTCAGTGACTCAATTTAGACTCTGTTGGGAAGCACGTGGCATTCTTCAACTCAGGCGATGAGGCGTTTTGCCTTCGTCCGCACACGATCCCTGTCGTTGCAATTATGTTAGTACGCATTTCTACGCAGTACAGGTACTGAGAATGCCTTTTTTGAAACCACTGTCACATCCATTTTCACATTTCAAATATCTTAGATGGCATTAACGACGTATATGAAATCGCTTTTAACTAACTGTAGAAGTTGGTGACATCTTTGGACTCATGTGACACATAAGTCCGGAGGTGCTGATTGACCTTTTGTTGTCAAGAGTTTGCTCTTCGTCTGGTAATAGCCCTGCAAGCTTTTTGCAAAGCCACTGTGAAACAAATGCTGCCTACCTTGTTTAGGGCCACACCAATGTTTTAATCCATAGTGTTACGACAGAATAAAATGTGCAGAATTATTGATATTTCAATTGTTTGGAATTTGTTTGGCTGGAAAAATGTTTTTTTTTAACTAGAACCTTCCGCTTGACTCATGGAAAATACAATTAAAAAAGCTTGTTTGGTGGGGTCGACTCTCCAAACATGAGGGCGGCTTGAACTGGGGTGTAGACAGACAAAGCTTGATTTTCAGAACAGCAGTCCTCTCGGCGTGTTCCAAATGCCTGCGAGATCCCCTTTCATGGTCTGTGAACTTTCTGTGGCTTTTGGGCTCTCCCCGGGCTAACGACTCTCACCACAGCTCACAGGCTTCATGTTCTGAAGGTTTCTTTTTCTTACCCTGAGGACTCCGTGGTAAATTTTTTGTTCACCGGCCGCTGCTGGCCTACATTCCCACGTGTGTAACCCAAAGTACTATTTTTTCAACACAAAATCCTTGGACATTTTGGCTCCAGAGTCCATCTGGCTCTTGCCACACGCTGCAAACTAGGGCCGGAAGGTTCTTGTTTCCAGGGTCACTTCATCCGTTGGGAACCCCACACTATTTTGCTGGTGCGTATTGTCTTACAAACAGGCAAGCAATGCCATTCTGCCATCAAGCTTTTTAGTTCACATACCTGATTAATTATTGGCAGTTTAATGGAAAGAAACGACGACGAAAGCCCTTTTCTGTACCCGTCC